GTTTTGAGTGCAAGAAGATGAAATTGTTTTCTCAAATTGAAATTATGTGCTCTTGCATTATGGCAGGATAATTCTCCCATACAATAAATGCTAAAATATAGTAGTGGCATACTGGTAAAACAGTGGAATGTGCATCACATAGGAGTGGCATGTGAATAAAACTGGGGAACATGAAACCAGAAAGAAGGGGACATGTCGGTAAAATGGTTGAAAATGTCACCACATAGAAGTGGCATTTTGGTAAAACAGTGGAATATACCACCATGTCATAGTGGCTTGCAAGTAAAACAGCTTAATATGTTACCAAGCAGAAGTGACATGTCAATAAAAAGGTGAAATATGCAACCAGACAAACACGGCATGTCAATAAAACATTGGAATATGACACCAGGTCTAAGTGGCATGTGAGTATAAAGGTGCTTTCATACAGAGCACGAATCATACTGCTTTTCTTCGCTGTGAAGTTTCCCTGGCCTGCACAAGGATTTTGCATGGCAGGAGATTTTGCACAGTGTGCAAAAGGACTACTTCGTCATGGAGTTTGCTGGTCATTGGTTCCACTTGAACATGGTTGACATGGATTTATGGAGAAACTGGCAGTGCTTTTTTTTTTGTCTTTTAAAAGCCGAGCAAAGCTGTTGGCATTGCTGGGCTCACTGGACTCCCAGAGATGGGACCAGAATGGAGAATACCACCATCGCCTCTAGAGGCCACGTGTGAATGACTGTCACTTTCAGTCAGTGGTGTAGTCTATGTGATACGCAGTAATTTCCGTATAACCACTTAAAAGTGCCCAATAATGCTGCGTTCACACCGGCGAGTTTACATGCAAAGTCAATTATTGACGCGCGTCAAGGCGCAGGAAAAGGTTCTGCTGCGCGTTTTGAGCATCTGACGCGCGCCACGCGCCGCAAACGCGCTGCTGCTCGAGAAGGAAAAATTTTACTTTTCCTGCTTCAATCAGAGATGCTGATCTGGGAGCTGGCGGGGAGACAGACACAGAGCGCAGTGATCGCTCGTCTGAAACAGTTTATTAACGCCTAAATTAACTGAAAATGCTGAAACCTGCCGACAAAACGTGTTTGCTTTTATTATCCTGATGCCTGCAGTTTGGATTACGTTCATGAAAACCGCTTCCAGCCGCCGCAGCGAACCGCGAGGAGGCGACCGGGCCAAAGGCTGCTGTTGAATGGGATTCCTACTGACAGCGCACCGCCGGTATGGGGGGGTCTGAGCGGCTCCGACAGAAATAATATTAGAAGGCAGGATGGTAATCTGGATGAACTGACTGCGCTGATGAAGTTTTCAGGTGGATTTTCCCACTTAAAAACATATTAAAACTACTTTATTCCCACTGATCACAGCAAATATAGCTGCAAGGCAGAGAAAGGATAGAGCAGAGAGCCTAAAAACCTTAAACCACTGATCACTTGCATGAAAACCATTCCATGTAGCACAGCTGAGTGTGAAAGAGGGTTCAGCTTAATGAATTAATTACTTTGCACTTACTGGCGTGCTTATTTCTAAGCACAGTATACCCACTACAATAATGTAGACTACACCACTGCTTTCAGTGGTACTAACTATTCATGATGCCGTTTGGGCCTCTGCTGTCCCGCATTAAGGGACGAATCACATGGCCAACAGAGTTTAGGTGAGATGGCATTCTGGAACTCATGTAGGAGCAGCAGGAAATCAGTGTAAAGCCGGGCATACACTGTACGATTTTTTTGCGAGAATTTTTCGATCGGGCCGACTTTTAGCATCCTCGTCGTGTAGTATACATAGGTTAATGAGGGGCGATTAGCCTCTCACGACCACCTCCCGAAAAGGAATCGTAAGGTTGGGAGAAAATCAAACACGTTTTTAAATTCAGTCGGCCGTTGTGAGGTGTTCGTAAGCAAATCCTGCCGTTGAAGCAGAGCTACGACCGTCTACGAGCCGATTTACCGGCACCTTGAGCTTTGCGCATGCGAAAACAAGGGAGTTCTTCTTCGTCTTCCAGATAGACGAGTCCGACCAGCGGCATCTCTCGGTGCTCAGTCCGACATGTTTTTTTTGGACGTGCAGTGGTAGCAGGTAGATCGCATCAAAGCATCGGTTCGCAAAGTGTGAGAACGTGCATTGTGAGCTGTGAATTTTTAAACCCTGTGGTTTCGTCATACAGTTCGAGCTGCGAGCAACAATTAAAAATATCTCACAGTGTGTACCCTGCTTAAGAAATCCGGCCGAGAGAAAACCAGGACCAGGACCAGACTACCAGACCTGCTTCCCTCTGGAACTAAGAGACCAATTGGTTTATATTCATGGTGGGCTCCTCCAAAGTCCAGATTTTTTAACCCTTGCGGATTCCACTTGACTTCATTCGCACACGGAGCTGAATTTGCCATAAACGTGCCATTCACGTCGCTAAATTCGCCACATTCTCCTTGATCAGCTTCACCTGATTTTTGCTCTTTATACTAAACATAATGTGAGGAGTGATTGAGACTTACCGCTCAGCTTTAATAAAAGCAGCTTTGCCAACACGATTGCTGTGCCACGTCCAGGAACAGTGAAACTCTCCATTGTAGTTCTGAGTGGAACAACTCAGGTAATCCTCTAAAGAAAAACCATCAGAGGACAGCAGATGGTTCAGGAATACATCCATTATTACATATAAGAAGGTTAAGTGCTAACATCACTGAGCATGACCATACCTTGCTGGTTTTTAAGAAGAATTCTCCTATTGGATAAATAGTGCTGAATAAGGACCTCAGTGTGATTTAAGAGAGATCCGTCCCGGCTGTGGCAGGTGTAGTTGCCCCCTCCAAAGCTTTCCAACAACTGCACCAGATAAACGTTGCCTCTCTGCAACTCCTTTATTCCATTCTTCCTCCAAAATATATCCTGGCTGTTGTTGCCCGTCATCTCCAAGCAGGTAATCGGTTGTTGCCCCAAAGTGCCGTTCACTTCCAAGACCAGAACTAGGAGGTGAGTTAAAATTTTAGATTGTATTTGAAAAGGAATTATTACCCCAAACCAATTGACAAATTGTCGGAAATTAAGAAGTAGATTTTTTTTCCATAATGAGTAGATATAACATGTTTAAGTGCTGACAAATTTTCAGTGTTTCTGCTTTTACTGCGTAGACAAAGCTGAAAGTTTGCTATTGTTAAATGCAATGAACTTTATTCCACTATTTTTGAAAAACATTAACATATTTAGTAAATGGTAATTTGAAAAACATGCAACCCCAAAAAATAAGAAAAATACTGTGCTTATCTGGCAGACACTTTGCTGTTTTTTAAGATTGTTTTGTCAAATAGATTTTTTTATTCTCTCAAATAAAATTATTACGGTTTGAGTTTTACAAATTTCATTCTCTTCACCTCAAACCCAATGCATAAGCTCAGTTTTGCTCATTTAAATGTTTTTGCTAACGTCCATGCAGATCAATAGAGATGTTTCCAGAAGAACGTCTAACCCCCCAGAAAATGAAGAGAATATGATCTAGAAAATATAATTTCAAAAGAATGGATTTTGTAAAACTCAATCGAAAAAACAAAAATTCAAAAAGTAAAATGCGGAAATACATAATTTAAATATAGAATATAAAAATAAAACAAATTAAATTTGAAAAGAAAAAGTTACTCTCAAAAGCTTTTTCAATTAAAATTTTCTTTTTTTTCTGTATAAAATGTTTTTATTTTAGTTAACTTGCAAAAAACATGCTCTTTGCAACAATAATGGATGTAACGTCTCTACGTTTTATCAGTAACGTGTTTATAAATATAGTTAAAGAAAGTAAAGAGATATGAGATGCAAATTAAAATTTATTATTTTCTGCATTATGTAAATTTCTGTAACCTAATCCGGAGGAGAAAGCAAGTTTTGAAAAGGCAAAGCAAGTTTTTCTATCTCTTTTAATTTATTAACCTGTTGGTAATTTAAGACAAATCACAAAGGTAAAAATATAAATACTAGCCTTAGTCCATTTGAAATCATGAAATTTAAATAAGTCTTCTCTGTAATAATTTTGTCTTTGCTTCAAATGATCAAATGCTCTCATGTAATGTGACATCATCATCTGTTTCATGTTTATATATATTCTAAATTATAGCTATTTTAAAACTCCATATACATCAGGCAAAATTGTGAGGCATTAAAATCTACAAAAGCTAAAGTTGTTTAAAATCTATGACGTAAAATAAAGAAGAAAAATATTTGTCTAAATATCAAACATACCATTTGGTTCCAGAGTCCAATAACTCAGAGGATTTGGGCAACAGCCTTGCAGAAACACACACAGTATGTTGAAAACAAACAGCTTCATCTGAATGACAAAAAAGGGAAAAAAAAAAAGGAATACAGGGAAAACTCAAGAAGATTTTAAAAAATTAGAAAATTGAAAGTAAATCCACAAAAAAGCCGATGCCGTTGTACACCAGTTCAATTATGAATAATCTGAACCCAAGTAACTAAAGAGAGAACACAATAAGAAAGAAAAAAGAAGAAAAAGGTCCATAAAAACATTTACTTTTCTCACATAATCCTGCAAACATACTATATGCATAAAGAAAATAAATACAAAACATAAAAAACATATATTTAGCCTTAACTTTACATTTCTGTATTTTTCATAGTAAATTATTCTAACAAATAAACAAGTCAGATAAAAGTCTTCTTACCTTGTTACTCAGCCCCATCTTTGATGGCTCTAACGGGTTTCTCTCCTTTTTATTAACTACTGTCAGTCACAGACCTCTGTTATTTCCCCTGAATCAATCTTTTACTTCCACTTATGCGTTGCACTAACTTAGGGACCTGTTCTCTTTTTGTGGGTATTGCTGTGTCCTTGGGTTTCTGTACCCTCCAGTGACTCAAAAGGTAAATGCTGAAGCCACCCCTCTTGGTGCTGTCCCTACTTGTTTACTTTTAAGGCTGCAAGGATGTCTTCATTTCCCTTTGGTGTTCATGTTTTACAGTGCAGCTGTAGAGGCCAGTGTTTGCTCAGAGCTTTCCCACTCAAAATGATGTAAGAAGTAGGAAATTACATGACAGGTTTGGTCAGAGAACTCAGAAAACACCTGATGATATGTAATTTAAATTTAGCATCCAGGTGAGGCTCAAAGTTTCCACAAAAACTACAAAACTGTCAAAAAATTAAAGAGGCTTTANGCAGGAGCAGAAGCAGGCTGGATCAGACGAGGGAGAAAAAGAAAAGGCAAAAAAAAAGAGAATCCTCTGTGCTCTGTGGTTTTGTTCTGCCCTCACAGAGGGGGGTTGGTGGTTGGTCACACCTCTGTGACTTCTATGTGGCTGCTTTGGCTGAAAAAGGGGGGCTGCTGAAGTCCCCCAGCTGTTATTCACCAAAGCTGTGTTTTCTTCTCTGGTCATCCTATCAGGATGAAATATGGACACTGGTTCCCACTGTCCAAAAAGTATGATCATGGCAAATGGCATAACACATTCATAGCTGGATTTTCAACAAACAGGAACGACCAAAATTTTGGCAGCCAGGTGGGCAGAATGAAAATAAACCCATTACAGGTAGCGAAAAACAAAACAAAACAACAAAAAAACAGGGCAAGTCCATAAAACAAAAAAAAAAATGTTAATGAAAATAAATGTGCAGAATCACCAATATAAAAGAAAATCACTAAATGACTAAAAACACAATGTCACTCTTCTTCCCCATTTGTCATGACGTAAC